GGATCAAGATGTGAATGCAATAAAAATGTAACTAAGACAAATATATTGTTTTTGATGATTCAGGAACTTCTAGAAAGTTCTACTGCTCTATGGTGCTAAAGTAACACCTCTACATAAATTTCACTTCTATTGGAAAGATATAATACATGCACAAACAAGTATATAAAACTATGTCTGTATACTAATAAAGAGTACTAACAAGGAGACTTAATTAAAAAACGTATTGAGGGAGATTTTGGGTTAGATGTAATGACTATATAATTTGTAAAATAAGTATCAGAGATGTTTGTGTAATACACATCTGAAATTAGTTTAGAGAAAGACTTAGGGTCAAACATTTAGATGGATGAAAAAAACATTTGAAAGTAAGTTTGATCATTTAAATAAAGCATCAATCAGTTTTGAATACAAAACACAAAAAGATGCACTTGTGATCACACTAAAATCTGAATTGTGGCTTTGCAGTATAGTAACTGGAATTGTAAACACTTTCAATTCTGTAATTTCAACTCTTTTTATCAGAGGACTATAGGCAACATCTTTGGTTTGCAGCTGGAAAATACCTTATCATGAGCAATGTCATATGCTGTCTGTATACTGAGAAAGAAATCATGGATTCTTTGCAGGAAATGTTTGTAAGAACGTGGTGATATGACATTGCAAATGTGTAAAAGTGAATTAAACCAATAAGGTTCTAATATACAATGGGAAGAAATACTGATTTCTATCAGTGTATGGGAATAGTGGAGATAAGCTTGATGACTGTGGTGGTTTGATTGTCTCTCAAAGCCTCATATGTTTGAATACATAGCTCAGGGTTGGTGTAACTATTTGGGAAGATCATAGAACCTTTCAGAGGTGGAACATTGCCACAGGAAGTCTCTGAAAATATATAGCCTTGCCTTAGTCCCAATTTTCTTCCTTAGCTTGTCGTTGAAGATGTGATCTCTCAGCCTGGTGTCATGGTTTCTTTGTCACTATGGATTTTTTCTCTCTGGAACCTTCAGCCAAAGTAAAATATATTTTCCTTTAGTCGTTTTTGCCATGGAGTTTTATCGTAGCAACAAAATTAATAAATACAGTGATGTCTAAAAGAGAGATATCAAAAGGCAATATAGAGTGGAAAAATAGGAAAGAGGGACACAAGAGAGGGAGAAGATTGAGAAGGAAATCCACAAATCATTGGACAAGAAAGGAATCAACTGTGTTAGGAATATTTAGTGATCCTGGCAGTCACTGCTAACCTTCCAAGAGTAGGTACATTGGCACAGAAGTCTTGGACACGACCCATAGTTAGTCAAGATTGTTACTTGTAGAGACATAGGTGAAGGAAACACTTTCTGAACTCTGCCATAAACCCATACCTAGAGTGTTGAATAATAGTGTTGGTTACATGTTTGGCATGCCAGTGGTTGTGGAATCACTGTAGAAGTAGCAACTTCAAAGTCATGCTAGATAAACAAAACCTTCAAAGTGCAGTTGGAACGCATTTGTTCATATTTGAAAAAGCCTATTTTATTCTCAAGTTATCAACAAAAAAAAATGTGACACCAAGGCTTGTTAAAGTTAATGTATTAAAATTTAGCTTTATATTGCTTACATACTGAATTATGTTTTGTGCAGTTTTTGCCTAAATGATCTACTAAATATGTATATATGTATATATATTGCAAAATGCATGCTGTTTTATTAATTAGTGTACAAAGAATTGTTAGGTTTTATGATTGTGTTCAATTAAGTATAATGAATATAATTAATGTAGTTACTATTGTAAGTTCTTGAGTTAATAGTGCCATTAACTGATGCTGTTTTTGTTGTGGTGGTAATTATTGTTATTATAGAATACTAAACTTAAAATGAGAGGAAACTTAAAAGTTTGACCAGGGTTTTAGTCAATTAAATCCATATGCATATATGTATGTGTGTATAGACATATCCATATGTATATATTGTCATCTAAATTATACATTGTAATGTAAGCATGAATTGAAATACTAATTTTCTAGTCATAGTGTTAGCTGCTACAAATCACTTTTTTCCTTTAGGTCTATTTAGAAAGAGAAGTTTTCAATCTAAACATGGTTATTAAATTCTACTTGGAAAAGGTGTGTCCCTACCTTATAATCACCTGAAATTAAAAAGCATTCATTTTCTTCAAAAGAAAAAAAAAACGTTAAACAGCATTTTCACATACCAAATGTTTTAAATCTAATAATTTTTCTCTATTAAATGCTTTGTCATTGTACTTTATGTACCATTATTTCACTGTCTGTATTGACTATTATAATAGACAAGATGATTTTACTTGTAACTATCATGTTTTCTTATGTATTCTTCAGCAGTATTAGTGAATATTTATATAACGACAAAAGAAAACTGCTCTTATAGCTCTTAGCAGTGCTATAGAAAGCATAGATCCTCAACATGTTATTTATAGTAAAAGAAACATAGTTAAATAATAAATTTTAACATGTATCAAAAAATTGTCATTGATTTTGAGATGTAGAAAATTTTCATTGAATTTTTTCATGTATGCCCACATATTAGATATGGACACACAAAACCGTACATATTATTTTTATTTGTTGCATTATATTTTTATTTTTATACTAATTACACTTTATTCACTTTGTATCCCAGCTGTAGGCCTCACCCTCCTCCCCTCCCAATCCTACCCTTCCTTACTCATATCCTCCTATGCCTCTACAAGTCCATCGATAGGGGAGGTCCTCCTCCCCTTCCATCTGACCCTAGCTTATCTGGTCTCATCAGAACTGGCTACAATGTCCTCCTCTGTGGCCTGGTAAGGCTGCTCCCCCATTAGGGGGATGTGGTCAAAGAGCTAGCCACTGAGTTCATGTCAGAGACAGTCCCTGTTCCACTTACTAGGGTTCCCAGTTGGATACTGAGCTGCCATGGGCTACATCTGAGCATGGGTTCTAGGTTATATCCATGAACGGTCCTTGGTTGGAGTATCAGTCTCAGAAAAGACTCCTGGGCCCAGATATTTTGCTACTGTTGCTCTCTTTGTGGAGCTCCTGTCCTCTCCAGGTCTTTCTGTCTTCCCCTTCTTTCATATGATTCCCTGCACTCTGCTCAAAGTTTGTTTATGAGTCTCAGTATCTGCTTTGACACACTGCTGGGTAGAGTCTTTCAGAGACCCTCTGCGGTAGGCTCCTGTCCTATTTCCTGTTTTCTCCTTCTTTCAATGTCTGTCCCGTTTGCCTTTCTGAGTGAGGACTGATCATCTTACCCAGGGTCCTGCTTCTAGCTCAGCTTCTTTAGGTGTACAGATTTTAGTATGTTTATCCTGTATTATATGTCTAGTATCCCCTTATAAGTGAGTATATACTGTATGTGTGTCTTTCTGCTTCTGGGATACCTTACTTAGGATGATCTTTTCTAGATCCCACAATTTGACTGGAATTTTCATGATTTCCTTTTTTTTTTTTTTTTTTTTTTTTAAATAACTGAGTAATGTTCCGTTGTATACATGTATCACAATTTCTGCATCCATTCCTCCGTTGATGGCCATCTGGATTGTTTCCAGGTTCTGGCTATTACGAATAAAGCTGCTATGAACATGGTTGAACAAATGTCCTTGTTGTGTACTTGAGCATATTTTGGATATATGCCTAGAAGTGGTATAGCCAGATCTCGAGGAGACGCTATTCGTAAATGTCTGAGAAAGTGCCAGCTTTATCTCCAAAGTGGTTGTACAGGTTTACATTCCAACCATCAATAGAGGAGGGTTCCCCTTTGTCCACATCCTCCCCAGCATGTATTGTCACTTGAGCTAAACACGGTTTTATTGTCTGTTTTATATTGATGGGTAAATGTGTGGACACAGCAGCATTGCTTGTCATGAGCATCTACATTGTGGTCAGTACAAATGTAGCTAATTAATGAATCCACTACCGTACATATCATTTTGTTGTGGCGCTTTCAATACCCTCTCTCTGAAATTTTCAAGGTTATGTCTTCATTAAGTGATATAACCATGCCAATCCACAGATACATTGACAGACTTACTGAATGCCTTTATTCTCTGTAGTAGAAGTATCCTTTGGCTAGTGTCTTGGCCACAGCTTCAGGTATCACCAACATTTTGCTCTCCACTTGTGTGAGTTTGGGTCATTTTAGCTTCTGCATACAAAAGTAGAGTTTTACCATCTGACAAATGGGCATGCATTTCTACTGTGTTCTCACAGCATCTGTAATTCTCACAGGTGCTGCTCATTTTGTATTGTTCAGTAAAAGAATCAAACTAAAAATGAAGAAAGGTCTGACATATTTTCCAATTTAATTTTTATTAATTAATATTAGTTAACTTTTGTGTACATGTGTGTCTGTCAGAGTTATGTGTGGTACATGTCTACATTTGTGTAACAGTGTATTTGTGGAGGAGCAGCTGAGAGCGTCAGGTGTTTTTAATTACTCTCTGCCTTATTCCTTTGAGGCAGAGGCTCTGGCTGAGCCTTGGTGTTAGTAAGGCTGGCAGCAACCTAGCTAGCACAGCCCTCCTTTCTCCAATCCCTTCTGTGCTGGGGTTACACCTCCCCCCAGGGGAGGAGCAGTCCTGTTAGGCCACAGAGGAGTACTTTGCAGCCAGCCCTGAAGATACCTGATAAAACAGGGTCAAATGAAAGGGGAGGAGGTCCTCCCCTATCAGTGGACTTGGAAAGGGGCAAGGAGGAGACCAGGGAGGGAGGGTGGGGTTGGGGAGGGAATGAGGGAGCGGTATACAGCTGAGACACAGAGTTAACAAAATGTAACTAATAAGAAAAATAAAATTAAAAAACAAAAACAAATGACCAGGCCTGGATTTTGCTGGGAAGTTAGTATCTAAATGCCAGTCTTCATGCTTGCACAACCAGCATCCTTAACTGCTATCTCTTTAGACCCTCCATAGCTTAATTTGTATGGCTTTTGATGGAGTCAAAAGTCTTGAAAACTTAAAAAAGAAAACCTGAAAAACATTTGATAATTTTGTATTCTAGGTTCATTTTTATAAGAACAGGATAATTTGACCAAAGTATTTCATCAAACTGAAGTCTTTTGATCACTTCAAGCGGAACTCCTGCTCGTGAATGTGTCCTGTGAAGGTCAGTGTTTACTATCAACCTAATGTCCTCACATTAAGCTTTCTGAGTCTACAACCTGCCTAGGTGACCACTGTACAAGAGCAGTATGGGTGACCCATGTAAGTAGAGAATTTTGGAATTTCAATGAGACAAATTAGTCAAGGCATTAGTTTTTAAATTACAACGAAGTGTAATATACAATTTCTTTCACCTTCTCATTGTAAAAACCCATTCATACAACCTTGTGTATGTTTGCAGATAAATGACTAAAATCATTGACTTGGACTGGAAATCTGTGGTAGGTCATCTTTGCCTAGCATCTGCCAGGCTTGGGGTTCAGTTTCCAGTTGGTGTAAACCCAGTGTGGTAAGATACTCTTTCATCACATAACTCAGGAGGTCAGGGCAGGAAGGCCAGGGATTTAAGGACACCCTCAGCTACATAGAAAATTTGAGGCTAGGCAGAAATAAGTGAGACCGTGTTTCAAAACCCAAATAACTAAAAATGATTGCATCTAATTTTTATAGTGAGGACCATTTAGATTGTTTAAATTTTCTGCTTTGATTCTTTTTTTTTGTTTGTTTGTTTGTTTGTTTGTTTGGATTGGTTTTGGTTTGGGTTTTGTTTTTCAAGATAGGTTTCTCTAGGTAGCTGGGTAGCTTTGGTTGTCTTGGAACTAGGTCCCTAGAACAGACTGGCCTTGAACTCATAGAGATCTGTGTGCCTCTGCCTCCTGAGTACTGAGATTAAAGACCTGTCAGCACCATTGGGGCTGACATGATTCATTTTATTTATTTCTTATTACAATGTATTCCTTTTGTATCCAGGCTGTAGCCCCCACCATCTCCTTCCAGTACCATGTACCCTCCCTCTATTATTCCTAGGCCCCTTCCCTAGTTGAGGACCTCCTCTCCTTCTATCTGCCCTAGTCTATCAGGTCTCATCAGGACTGGGAGCATTGTCTCCTCTGTGGCCTGGCAAGGCAGCTCCCCCCAGGGGGAGATTCTTAAGTCTTGTTTATTCAAAGAGTTTCTATGTTTCCTTTACAGTTTCTTTAATATTTTTACATTATTGAATATCTGAATATTGTCTATACATATAAGACTGTTAATATTTTAATTGGAACTGTAAAATGATTTTTAAGTGTTTTGATTAAACTTGTTGAAATTTTATCAGTTCTGAATGAAATTAAACTTTGTATTTTTGAAACCCATCACTGTATCATTATCTCATTTCCAAAATAGTTTATTTATTACTATCTTAGCCTACTTATTTTATGGTTTACTTATTATTATTTTAAATTTCATCAAATAACATTCTTATGCTCATTTTATTAATTGTTTAGTTATATTACATGTATTTTTCTTAAATTCTTGTTTTTCTAGCTATAAACTTTGAAGATATTATTTTTACTTTTTTTATTTGGTCTTTGCTTTTGTTGTTTTTATTTTGAGACAGGGTCTTACTGTGTAGTCCTGGCTGGGTGGCCTAGAGCTTGCTATGTATACCAGACTGGCCTCAAATTTAAAACTTACAGAGATCTACCTGTCTTTTCTTGCTGAGTGTTGGCATTAAAGGCATACACCACCACTCCTCATGGCTTTTATATATTAATATAAGCACATCATGTAACTTTCTTTCTGTATTTAAATTTAGATATACTTTTCAAAGTATTGATTTATTTAATTAGAATTTTTAATTACTTCTTTGGATGGCGGATAGGGAATTTAAAAGCATTTATGTCATTAATTTTCAGCTTACCAAATAGTTGCCCAATGTTTATAAAGTGTATTGAGTACAAGAGTCACTGAAATTTACTTATGAAAGACGAAATTGATTTTCTCAAAATTTTTATAGAATGCAGATATGCTCCAGTTGGATATAAGAATCTCAGACATAGACACACTTCTAGTGTGTGCTTGATATGACATGGCAATTTTTCCTTAAAATTGTCTATATATTACAAATCCATAATCTCTACACGTATGTTATAATTTGATTAATTTGTCATATATATATATATATATATATTGCTAAAGCTCAAAATTACTTTAGGGCTGCTTATTTTATTTTGATTTGTCATTTAATAATGATTAAACCTTAATTTCTAAATGTACAACAGTAGAATTTTGATTTTCTTTGGACTTGTACTTTTTTGTAACATCTGACATACTTTTGGATTGTTATATATAATAATATGGCCCTCAATTTGATCTTTCTGTCCTTATATCTTTCTCCATATCTTCTCAGACATATGTGTGCAAATGTGAGACTAAGTTTTCTTTCCTTGAAAGCAAAATTATACCTAGATTAACTAATAATTTACTTAAGAACAAAAATTTTAATACTCTGTTGTTGCCTAGCTGGTATTGATAAAAGAGAAGTCCATTAATGACCTGACAGGCGTATTGATGAGAAAAGAGGTCATAGGTATACAAAACTGTTTTTCAAGTCACAATAAGATGGTTGACTTCCAGGTTCTTATTCCCTGAGGAAAAGAATTAACAAGTCTTCCCCAGTCTATGGGAAACTGTTGACTGGACCTTTCACTGTTCTTGCTGTTGTATTCTTGGTGTTCTTGCTGTTGTAGTCCTGTGTCCTTGTCTGAATCAATTAATCCCCAAAAACCACCTCCAAACAACTAATCTAGAGGGAGGAAAAGGAGCTTTCTTATGCCACAAACATATTAAAGCTCCAGGAACGAAAATGAACTCTATTTTTTAGATCGTGTCATTTTTGGGTTTCTCTTTCTTTGCTATGCTGACTTTTATTTGTAGCAAACCTTGTCTATGTGCTGTGCCTGTGAATCTTCCTTGATTTCGATGGTGGAGAAAATGAACTGAATCCAACTCTTAAACAGTAACAACCACTTGAATAATTTACAGTGAATTCTCTCAAGTAATCACCAACATGAGATACAAAATAATTCATACTCAGGTCTTCATCTGTCCATCCATCCATCCATCGATCCATCCATCATCAATCCATATACCTACCCATCTATCCATTCACCCACCATCCATCTATCATCCACCCATCATCCATCCACCCACCCACCCACATGTCTCTACCTCATACTATCATAAATTATATTTTACAGGAGTTTTCCACAAAGTGCTTGAATACCATCTAGACATTTCAGCCTTGTGACTAAGCTTCCATAACTTCTTTGTACCATGAGGATTTCAGAGTCCACAGTAACTGAATCACTGTATGCACCTTACCAGCCTTTCTTCTTCTGATATGTATTTGTCTCACTATTGTTTCTCAAGGCCACTCCAATTGCAGGAGAAAAGTGGCTACTTCCTGCTTTGGCTTGCATTAACAGAGTGCAGCTATACATATGCAGAATAGCTGTACTTCCTAGTCCACTTTTTCTAGCTAAAATCTCCAACACAGTTATTGGAGTAAGCTGATGTAAGCTACTAAGCAGACAGATGGAGAGCTGTGTGAATATGCTTCAGTCATGTCATTTTTGAGGTTATATCAATGCCAATGGGCCTTGTAAAAATGGATATTTAACAGTGAAGACATAATTGTTTATCATTAATTTTTTAACATTCATAACTAATATTCTTTAAGTAAATTAACATTACAACTGTCTATATTTAGCTTCAAGTCTACATTTAACTATGGTTGAGTGCCATATGTATGTGTGTGTAAGAAATTCTCAGAGGCTTTTTAAAAAATTGAAAAAGAATATGGTTTTCTCTTTCTGCGTTCTTATTTCATTTCCTTCTGGTTTTCAGTGTTGCTCTTGAGTAGCCCATTGTCATTCAATTCACTCTCCACTTTCAGAAGGGCCTTTTCTCTGTGGAACTGTGTGTCAGGACCTTAAGGGCCATAACTTAATATTTAAGTAACTAACTGGGAGTTTGTTTTTCTTTATTCTGATTTATGTTTTTTTTTTTTTTAAAGACTTTTGGGGTCTAAAAAGAGGTGACCATCACAAGCATTTTTGTGCTTCTAAGACAGAACACTGGCACCTCGATGATTCAAAAGTGTTCTTTTCTGGACAGACCACTCTCTAAGTGCCCACATATGGTGAGGGCATTCAAACTATATCTGATGTCAGAAGGTTAAATGGGAGGAGAATGAACAGAGAATCAAGAGATATGGAAACTTACTTTTATATGACTGACTAAACAATAATTTAACATCTCTCACCACAAATGTTATAATAACAGAATTTTTCTTTCAAGATTAAACATCTCTCAATGTAACACATTTTAACATTTCTTCATTGATGATTGATATCCAGTGCCTGGGCATGATGAATCATGTTCGTAGCTTTCAATAATCTAACCTATTCATTCATGAAAATTTGTTCACTGAATTCTCCATGTAGACTTTGGGCTTTTCTTATTTTTCAATGTCAGGGTGGGTTTTCCACAACATTCTGTTATTTATTTGTGAGTTAACACTATTATTATTTTGAAAATTGTGTGCTTATATGTAGCCTTTCCACAATTCCCATTTGGTTGAATTTTAAGGACACTTTCTCTGTAAAATAGGTTAGTGGTATTCATTTTCATTTTTTCTTATATATTTAGCCCCAGAAACATAATTAGTTTGCATTGCTTTAAAGTGTATTTGTGTTTGGAATACACACAGAATGAGTTATCTTAATTAATCATACGAGCTAACTCAAGTAATAGAATTTTCCATATGCATTTGCAATTTTCTTATTCCCGAGTTCATCGTTGTTGCAATTATAACAAAGGTGATACTTTTAAATTCTTTAATTGAATTTCCATGGTTAAAAAATGTTTTAATTGACAAATCCACCCTCTTATTCCATTCTATCTTCTCCATTTCCTAGCCCTTCCTCTACCTCAGTACTCCCCCCAACTTCACATGTTCTTTGTTTTTTGTTTTGTTTTTTAAATATACTGAATCCACATAGCGTCAGTATGGGTGTTCGGCTATCTGCTGGCATACAGGGGCCTTGCTGACACATCAGTCTGTCACACCACCTCCTCCTAAGGCCGAGGGATAAGGGTGATTCATTGAATCTGGGT